TTAAGTTTGTGAATTTCTTGGATAACTAGCTTAACTTTCAAACTACACAAAACTCTCTCGCATAACTAGCTTAACTTTCAAACTACACAAAACTCTCTCGCATAACTAGCTTAACTTTCATTAAGTTTGTGAATTTCTTGGATAACTAGCTTAACTTTCAAACTACACAAAACTCTCTCGCATAACTAGCTTAACTTTCAAACTACACAAAACTCTCCTTAAGTTTTGGATTTTTAAAAAGCACCTTCATTTTTCACCAAAAAACCACTTTTAGTGTTGGAAATTCTATGTGGCATCATCTTTCCCTTGGAATTAGATTAGACTCTAAGGAGTGAGATAATTAGACACTCTTTAATTACCACTTAATTGGAGAGGATCTGAATTCATTTTTCTCTATTATGTGTATAAATAGATACACTCCATTAAAAGAAGTTCCATTAAAAATTTATACTCCACTAAATAAGTTTCGTCAAATAGTTATACATGGTTTTGTTTCACAACCAAGGGAAAAAAAAGCAGCATAGTTTCTTATCTCTGAAACTTCAACTTCTCTCCCATAATAAATTTTAAGTTACTCATACCAAGTTATTTGGGAACCTATCTGTAGTAAGGATGACGACTAGGCGGTGTTAGCCCAGAACAAACCCGCACCAATCAATCCGTTTTTTATCTGGTTTGATCCAGCTCGTTAGCATCCAGTTGGATTGATTTGGCCTGATTTGGTTCCAAAGTGGGCGGGGTACGAGCCAGTTTCTAAAATCCAAATTTGAACATGAACCCAACCCACGAACTCGGTCCAACGTGAATTGGACCTAAGGCTAGACAGAGCCCAAACCTAGCCTGCACCTAACCCCACATTGACAATAGTTATCAATGACTAAATTAGCTGTTAGTAAACTATATAACTATTACTAACTATTTAGTAATCTAGAAATTAATAATATAATTAAATATGCATATTTTTCAAGCAAACAATTGGTAGGTTGAATCCTAAATTCTTCTCAAGAAGTAACAAAATCCCAATCTGGAGGTCAAAATTCTTTTAAATCAAGTTTTAAAAAATCCAGATATTGTTAACATTTCTCTACGTATCTAAGAATATTAAATATCATAGGGTACTAAAGTGTAACTTTTAGAAACTTTAGGGTATTAAAGTGAGGTTATTTACAAACTGATGGTGTTTATATGTAATATTGGCTAATAAGAGGGCAACATCACGCAACATTGAGTAAATAAGAGGGCATCAAAGTGACAATATTTTGAAACTTTGAGGCATTTATCTTCAACATTTAAATACTATGTGGCATTTATTTGCTCAGTTTTAAAATAGGGGTCACTTAAATGCAGAGTTGGTAAAAAATATAAGGATTTAAGTGCAATTTAGCCTTTTATTTTATTGATTATTATGTGGGTTTTTCTGATATTAGTACCCAAATCTTTCAATACTGAAATTAGTCCTCCAAAAGTTCATATTTTGACTTTGTCCCAAAATCTTACAAGTCTTTGAAAACAACCACTTTAGTAGTGGTAGGCTGGTGGAACTTGAGAAATGTTCAGTAGTTTTGAACACTTTTAGAAGTAATATCAAGTATACCCGGTCATCTGAAGTTTGGTTATGGAATTTATTTTTTTTAAGAATAATTTGGTAACTATGATTCCTGGTTAACCACTATCTTATAATAGTAGTTAGCAATTTCAATGATAAATGTAATAAAGAAACTAATTTCAAAACAATTACATGACTTGGAAGATTAATTTCAAAATATGAAGATTTGGGGACTATTTTCAAAATATGAGATTTGAGGGTCTAATATTGAAAAGATTTTTTCTAAGAAGTCCTAAGGAAGAAAGTATCTAGTGCAGTACCTGCTAAGATAATAGAGAATTAGAAATATTGAGCAACTACTGGATTCGGTGCCAGATGGAGGATTTCTAAAAAGTAACATCACTACATAATTAATAATTAAAAACCACATAATTGTCCACAATGAGTTTTCACATTTTGAAGGAAAGTACTATAATCATATTATTAGTAACACTATCAAATATATATTTCTCAATATATGCTAATAGTAACAAGTTCTTAGGTTATAATCTTTAGTTGAAATGTGAGGTTTATAGGGATAACCACCTTAATTTTCTAACTACGCAAAACTGCCCTTAAGTTTTAGGTTTTCAAAAAGCACCTTCAACTTTCAACATCTTTCACAAAGAACCCCTTAAAGTCGTTAACTACAATTTTCACCTGGGTGGTCAAAATTATGCATGAAGTTGTTTTTGCTAGTAAAGCTATGGTTTATAATTTTAGGTTTTTTAAAGAACATCGAAAGTTGAGGAGATTAATTTTCTTAGAATCACAAAAGTTAAGAGGAATTTGCGACACTTTAAAAGTTAAGGAGAATTATTTAAGAAACCCACAAACTTAAGAATTATTCTTGGTCCTTCTTGACCAAAGTGACGCGACCCTACTTTGGTTAAGATCGATCTCGTTATAAGTGGATCCTTGATTACTTATATAATATATTCCCTACTCATTCTCTCTTATTTGTTTCCTCTTTTTATATCTCTTTCTTAAGCAGTTGCTATTGAGCACCTGTTAGAAAAACCTTGATGAAAAATTCTTATCATTTTCATCTAAAATTCTAGTACTAGCATAAATCATCATGAACTTTTAAATTATAAAAAATTATTGTTATTCTTTTGGAATTTTCTATTAAATTGAGAAAATATCTAAAGTATCTCATTAATCAAGCAACTTGTTGTTCAAGAAAGGGAAATTTTTGGTTCGGCATGAAACATGAGGATTTAGAGATAATATATTAATTTGAGAGCCACCTTTTTTCTAGATCAGTATTCTCTCTAATTAGTTGGTAATAAGAAAGTGTCCAATTATCCCGATCATTATTGTCCATTCTAATTTTAAAGAATAAGATGATGCGATGTAAGGTTCCCACGATTATTTTGAAAATCACTATTGTCTTGAAAATCGTTATTGTGAAAACCATTCTTTGTTGTTGGAAATCCTATGTGGTTTCATCCAGGGCCGGCCCTAGCATAAGGCAACTAAGGCCTTTGCCTTGGGCCCCAAGTTGGATAAGGCCCACCCACTCATATATATAATATATGTAACTTAGTTACTTAAGCATAAAGCTAACCCTATTTAAAAAGTAAAGATCCAAAGATAAAAAGTGAAGTTAATAGCTTAGCAACTTATGAGATTGAAAATTTTGAATTCTTAATAGCTATGAATATTTGGTATGACATATTGTTTGCTGTTAATTCAGTTAGTAAAATCTTACAATCTAAATATATGCATATTGATATTGTCATAGATCAATTAAAGGGTCTTATTGTATATTTAGAAAATTATAGACAAAATGCTTTTATATCTGCTTTGAATTCAACTAAAGAACTTGCTAATTAAATGACGTACAACCTATATTTTGTGAAAAACGTAAAATTCATAGAAAAAAACAATTTGATGAAATATTGGTAATGAAACAACATTTAACGCTGAAGAATCTTTTCGTATTGAATATTTCTATACATAGTTGATAAATCGCTTGGCTCAATTGAAAGTAGGTTTGAACAATTTAAAACGTATGAAAAAAAATTTGGTTTTTTGTTTGATTTGAAAAAATTAAAAGCTTTAGATTATATTGAATTGAAAGCATATTATCTTAATCTCGAAAATGCACTAAAACATGATGAACATTTAGATATTAATGGACTTGATTTGTTTTCAGAATTGAGAGTGCTTAGGGAAATTTTAAAAATAGAGATTAATAGTCCAATTGAAGTGTTGAACTATATAAAGTGGTTAGATTATTTTCTAAATACTTGTATTGCTTATCGTGTACTATTGACTATACTCGTAACAGTTGCTTTCGCTGAAAGAAGTTTTTCAAAATTAAAATTACTAAAATCTTATTTAAGATTGATCATGTTACAAGATATTGAAAATAATATGTAATTTTGCCGCTCAAAAGGTAAGAAGAATGAGATAAAATGTATTATGAGTTGTATCACTTAGGCCTCATCCAATATTTCGCCTTGGGCCCCAAAATTCCTAGGTACGGCCCTGGTTTCATCTTTCCATTGAAATTGGAATAGACCGTAAAGAGTGAGATAATTAGACACCCTTCAATTACACCTAACTAGAGAGGATTTGAATCCCTTCATCTCTATTAAGTGTATAAATAAATACACTCCGCTGGAGAAGTTTCATTAAGGAGTTATAATCTAGTAAAGAAAGTTTCACGAAAGAGTTATACATAGCTTTGTTTCATAGCCAAGAAAAATAAAGCAGCATAGTTTCTTATCTCTAAAATTTAAACTTCTCTCCCATAATAAATTTCAAGTACTCATAACAAGTTATTTGGGAACCTACTTATAGTAAGGATGGCGACTGTGTCGGGTTAGCCCAGAACCCGCACTGAACTAATCCGTTTTTTATCGAGTTTGATCTGGCTTGTTAGCATCCAGATTGAGTTTGGCCAATTTGATTTCAAAGTGGGCGAGGTACGGGTCTGTTCCTGAAATCTAAATCTGAACATGAACCCAACCTACAAACTCGTCTAGCTCAAATCAGACCCAGGCCCTGACCGAGCTTGTACCCAACCCGCACCTAACCCCACATTGACAATAGTTATCAGTAACTAAATTAGTTGTTAGTAAATTATATAACTATTACTAACTAGTTAGTAATTTAAAAAATTAATAACACAATTAAATGTGCATGTTTTTAAAGAAAACAATTGGTAGGTTGAATCCTAAATTCTTCTGAAGAAGTAACAAAATCTTAGTCTGCAGGTCAAAATTCATTTTAATCAAGTTTTTAAAAAAAGAGTTAAAAGAATAAAAAAGAGAAAGAAAAATAGTGGGCCGGGTTGATCAATCCGGTCCAATTCGAATGGACTAGATCAATGAGCCATGTTGGTTTGTGCTCGTTACCCGGATATCCGAGCTTTGGCCCGACCTAGCATCTAGATTGGCCTAGATTAACTCGACCATGATCAGGCTAAAACCAGAGGGTCTGGACCCAGGTTGGCCCAATCCGATCGAGTCGCCAGCCCTAATTTATAGTATTGTCGCAGCCTGCAGAAATTTTTGTTATTTACGGTGCAATTTTAATTTTTTCTAACGATTTCTCATGAAAATTATTTTGTATAGATAATAGGGTAAATTTCACTAAACTATAAAAATACTTTGGGATATTTTCTGCAGAATCCAGCACAAATTTGTTTTTTTTTTCACTAAACCCTAAAAAAAAATTCACAAAGCCCCCCAAAAAGCAAGGAGAAGAGCAGAAGAGGAGCCCCACCGAAAATAATAAAGAGTAGATTGATCTGATAATAAAGATGTCCGATTGCAACCAACAACTTTTAGGTGCTTCAAGAGAAAAAAAGGTTGAGGGTTTATTTAAGATACTTTGGAGTTTTAAAGGTTTTGAGGGAAAAGCTTTAGATTTTTATTGGAAACGAAGTCTAAGGAGGTTCTATAGTTAAATGCCTCGAGCATTTGTGGAGTGTCGTGAAATTTAGATACGAAACAAATAAAGTTGACAGAAGCCCACGTGGACGCGTGCGAGCACATTTCCAGTGTTTCCGCACCAGGACCCACTTGCCTATCAACCAATTATAATAAGCCAAGTCACGGATATACCCAAAGGGTCACGTGGGACCTGGTCCCACACACTTTTAATGGAGCACTGACTAGAGCCACGTGGATATCTCATCGTGTGGCCACCTGGCCACAACCGAGCTAGTAATAACGCCACATAACTCTCACCCTCCTCCTTCGATAGAAATACCGAAACTACCGCTATCCCTTCCGCCGTACGACCCAACCCTACCAGCTTCAAATCTCCATATATTCCACTAATCCTGGGCCTGGGGCACACTTTAAGTTCCATTTCCTCCCGAAGACCTCGAGGCCCTCTTATCCCCTTTTATACTCCCCTCTCGATTCCGGTTACCGCCGCGTGACAACAACCTCGATCTACAACCCATTAAGCCGATGCCGCCCGTTGGATCCGATCGACGGACGCCGGCGGCGGCGGCTGCGGCCGCGGCGGCGGCGGCCACAGGCCGCGAACGCGGCGCTGCAATCGAACGCGCCGCCACCGTTCCTAGCAAGGCACTGTACGACCATCGTCGACGATCCGGCCACGGACGCCGTCATCTCGTGGGGCCCGCAGAACAACAGCTTCGTCGTCTGGAACGTCCCGGAGTTCTCCAGGGTTTTGCTGCCCAAGTTCTTCAAGCACAGCAATTTCTCGAGTTTCGTGCGCCAGCTCAATACCTATGTAATGATCGATTAATATCTTGTTAATTCGATTATCATCATCATCATCATCATCATCATCATCACGATTGCGGTTGATTCTAATTTCTGCATAGATAGGCGCTCGTTATGACAAAAGTAATTGTTTTTCTTCAGATTGTTTTTCTTTTGATTTAACTATTAAAACTAGGGTTTGGCTGATCTGGATTATTTCTGCTATATATGCTTTTATTTATCTTAATTAATTGAGAGTTTACTTATCCGATATTTACAAGTGGATTGGAGCTGCGAACTGCCCCATCATGGGAGTGGAAAACACATTTGCACACAGAAGTTTCTGCTTTCTTATGTGAACCTAACCCAACCTAATATTTGCACCTATATCTGACATAGATTCCACTGAAACACGTATTATATTGTAGTTATCAACTAGTTCCCTTCCTATTCTCCGTCTTAGACATACTAGTCAATGTGTCATCGATCATGGGCTGTCATGATACCCTGTATGGGGAACAGCCATGTACATATTTTCTTTTTATGAGACGAGAATGACACTGCACAATAAATGAATTATAACAATCATGAATCAGTATGTCAGAGTATCCAAGTCGCTTGTAACACATCAAGGAGGTAAAAAATCCTAATCTAAATGGGTTTCTTCTCATGCTGTCTGTCAAAAAATTGATTGGACCATAACAGATGAACTTGCAACCACTTCCTTTTTAGATCATTGTGCTACTGCTTGATTAAAATAAAAGTAAATATCTAGCATAATTTATGCTAGATATTTAAATCAATCTTGTAATTTTTTTGGCTTACCGGCAATGGTCTGAAGTCACCTTTGATGATCGTCTCTCCAGCAGTCCAGCTCACACAAATTTCAGAGAGATTGAAGGTTATTGGCTGCCTGCATGTTATAGTCTGCCCTATTCTACATGAGTTTTTCTTAGAACATACACATTTTGAATGTGGAACTATCAACAAAATGCTTGATAGCATACCTCAGTCAGAGTCACCAATTTGGCATGTTACCTGCACAGCCGCCTTAAGGCTTTTGAACTGTTTTCAGATAACATTAGTCTTTGATCCTCCACATAAAATGCAGTCAACAGCTCTTAAGATTTATCCTTCATCTTTTGCCTAAACAAGCGACTTAGATTGGCTTACATCGTAGTTGCTGATATTTTACATACGTTGGTTATTCCCTAGAATCACCATATGTTATCCATATTTATATGCCTCTGTACACCTGTTCTTGAAAACGCTTAGCATATCCAAAAGTCAGGCTAATTTGATAAATATGATCATAAGTTGTTTTGCATCGAGACCATGCCTTATGGAGCTTTTTTGTCTCGTCTGAAAGCAACATTTGTCGGTCTTGATGCACATTTTAGATATTTGTTGCCAATACAATTAAATTGTTTTGATACAATCAGCAATTCACCATATCTGTCCATCGTAGCGAATCTTATAAAAAACATGTCATTATGCATAACAAGTTTCATAAGCATCTGCAATCATGTCTTCGTGAAGATATACCCTAGTACTTTTTTCTTTCTTGACTATTCTTCTACAATGTTTTCTGCTGTTTTGTTACTTAATATTTTTCATGCGAGTGCTAAGCTCATTAGCACTTCATTAAGTTACAGTGCTTTTCAAGCACCAAGCTGTACCTATGATAGTCAAATAGTCAACTTCTAGTTTTATTTGATTTAGACCAGCTACTGCAGTCAAGTTAGCGAAATATTCACGGAGGAAAGTCAAGCCAATCAGTTTCTCTAATAAATTGCAGTGCTTTGCAATGCTCAGCTGTGACCATTATTAATATTAAGATAGACCCAGAGGTGGTTCTGTTCTATTTAAATCAATTAGTAGGATAGTAGTTAGGTACATAATGCTGAGTTCGCAAAACTTCTGCAAGGAAGATAGATGTTTCTGTTCTCGACATCGTTAAAATGTTGGAAGTCCTTTTTGCAAGTGTAAGTTGTTATTTATTTTCTTTCCCAGTCCAGTTTAGGCTAATCAGTACTCCAATTAAATTGCAATGTTCCTCATTTATAGTTGGATAGTCCGTGCCATTTCTATATCGTTTTTAAATCAATTACAGAGCGAAATACACTCAAGCAAGGCAAAACTTCCAATTTGTGACTTTGGCTCATAAATTTAGTCTTAACTGTTTATAATTAATCTGCGCACATCTTTATGGAACCTGAACCAAAGGTGCATCAGTAATTGAGATTGATTTGAACTAGTCATAGCAGGTAATATTACCTGTCAATAATCTACCTTATAATTTTTTGTTTCTCCTGTCATGGAAATCGAGGACGCTTTAAGAGAATAGACCTTATTGTATTATTAATTAGTGCAACCATGGCAGGTGAGTCTTATTCCATACGCCAGGAACCAATCTTATTAATTCTTCATCAGACGCGGCCTTAAGGAAAATGCCTGTGCAGGGGAAAGAACCTAATTTCCTTCTACATTTTCTTTCATACTATTACCAAACTTGATCAATCTGGCTGGGCAGTAAGTACTTGGCATGCTCAAAATTTTCTGCTCTGTTTGTTCTTGTAGAGCCATAATCTATTGCATAACCGTATTCTATTTTAGTCCGGAGTCCCACTGATCCTTTTTTTCTGGGATTCAATGTGCAATGTTGACAGGGTTTCAAGAAAGTTGATCCAGATAGATGGGAATTTGCTAATGAGGGATTCTTAAGAGGTCAAAAGCATCTGCTCAGAAACATCAATAGGAGAAAACCCTCTCAGGCACACAGCCAAGAACAACATCCTCAAGCACTGAATATGTCTTCTGCAGCGTGTGTTGAAGTTGGGAAATTTGGGATGGAAGGAGAGATCGAGATGCTCAAGAGAGACAAAAATGTACTCATGCAAGAACTGGTTAGGTTAAGGCAACAGCAGCAGGCTGCAGACAATCAGCTCGACATCTTGGGCAAGCGCCTCCATGGAATGGAACGCCGGCAACAAATGATGATGTCATTCTTGGCAAAAGCTATGCAGAACCCTGGACTCTTTACCCAACTCATGCAACAGAATGAAAGCAACCGCCACATTGCGGGAGTGAAGAAGCGTAGATTGCCAAGGCAAGACAAAAGTGCTGCTCCTGATGGGCAAATAGTGAAGTATGAACCATTAATGAACGGTTCCCCATCAGCGATGCTAGCTCAGATGCTAAAGTTTGATTCATCTCCAAAGTTGGATGAACCTATGAATAATTTCCCTTCACATGGAGGGAACTCTTTGGATCAGAATTCTGGAGTTACCCTTGGAGAAGTCCCTCAAAACTCAGGGGTACATCCATTTGTGCCGGCGACCTCTGCCTTTCCGAGTGCTTGTTCATCTTCAGCTTCTTCTCATGAGATTCAGTCTGAAGCGGGCATAACAGATATCACGATTCATGATGCTTTGCAAGATATAGACATGCTATCCGAGGTTCCAGTGGCAATTCCATGTGAATTTCCTGAGATTCATGAGCTTGTTCCTGATGAGAGTATTGCTGATATTCCCATTGATGGCATGTATCTCAACCAAATCGCTGAGGAAGTGGATGGTCCTATGCCTATGACGGGAACCAATGATGACCAAAAGTTTTCAGAAATCATGGATTCTTTGTTGGAAGAGTTCATTTCTAGTCCATAATCCGGGGAGACGAATAGGAGACTCATGATTTCGTAGTGTTCACAAAGAGATTTTAAGAACCAACGGTAGCATTGAGAGTGGGGAGGGCGGCGGAGGAATGTAAAGGAATCATGGATAATCTCACAGCCCAAATGGTGCTTCTTGCATCTGATTCCGAGTTTTGACGTGGGATTTGAGTGTATTTCCTTGTCATAGCCATATCAAAACTATAGTTTGGTTACATATCACTGTGCAATTTACTAGATGGCAAATGTAAGTTTTTGGGTTCACAAGGTGAAGCATTTCTACGTCTAGTCAGTATCTTAACTCGCAGGATTAGATCTTGTTTGAAGCGCATAGAGTGTTGTCGATGATACGATTAATTCTGTTTCGAACATTGCGGCAAAGGGCAACGCAAGTTCTATCTGGAGGTGAATACGGACGTTTACAAGAATTTTGCTTGCTGTTTTTGCTGTATTTGAGATCAAATCCGGTCCTTGTCCGAATGAGATGTCAATCCAGTTGATGTGGTCATATGAATGTGTAGTGGAAACTAATAGGCTGTCTGAATATATCGGCATACATATTTGAGTTCATGCATTTATGCATTAAATAGTCTGTCATGAGTTCCCATCTTGATTAAGGGGGGTTATTGGTTGGGACAAATTGGGGTCAATGTGGAAAAATGTTCCAATGGAACAATTTTACCCTTTTGGGATATTTTGAGTGGGGTAAAATGGGATAATGTGATAATTTTAGCATTTGATTTGACAATTCATGTGGGATAATTGATGATGTGGTACCTTATTAAAATATATTTTTATCTATTAATTACTTCTAAATTAACTTATCTAATTGGTTAAGTATATTATTTAGTATATTATTATAATATAAATATTATTTTATTTTATATTAAAATATAATATATTGTACTATACTTACAAATTACTATTATTAATTATTATATTGTATTGTATTATATTATATTAGCATGCTATACTATATATAATAATTAATATAATATAATATCAATATATTTAATATAATATTTTAATAATATAATATTTAATATAATACATTATTTTATTTATACAAAAATATAATATGTTATACAATAATTACTAATTAACATTATATTAGTATGCTACATTATATAATAATTGATATAATATATGAATAATATATATAATATAATACTTTAATAATATATTATTTAATTTAATATATTATAATATAGTATCATAGGATATAATGTACTTTATAAAATATTATAATATTTTACTTTATTCAATGTAATATTTTTAAAATTTTATATTAAAATTAAAATATAATATAACATATATATATTACATGATAATTACAATAATATATATTAAAAGGTATCATGTTATAGTTTACTATTATATAATATTAATAATATATTACATAATACTATTAATATATGTTATTAAAATATTATATGATATTATAATAAATACGTTATACTATAATTATTAATTAATATTATATAATAATATATTACATAATATTATTAATATATTATGTTATTAAAATATTATATAATATTATAATAAATACGTTATACTATAATTATTATTATATAATATTATTAATATATGTTATTAAAATATTAATATATGTTATATTTTATATATCATATCATATATTTATAATATAATTAGCATGTAATAGTTAAGTAATAAAAAAATATTTTAAAATTATCCCAATTGCCTTCAAATTGGAACAACATTGTTCCAATATGAAGGATGGGGTAAATTTGGGGTAGTTATGAGGAAGGGGTAGAGATGATCTTTATATAGTTGGTGTAATTTAGGGGAAAGTGGAGTATTTGTCCCCCAATTACCCCAACAAACCAATAACACCACAAAGTTGACTCCAATTCCAATTACCCCAATGAATAACACCTAAAAGTGATGTTCCAAAAATTATCTCATTATCCCCCAAATTACACCAATGAATAACCCCCCTAAGAGTAAGAGCTTACTTGATCTAGATACCGTGTTGTTTGACTAGAAGAAATGAATATGGAACCGTTCGGTTGGGGCTCCGTCATTACTACTTAGAGCATCTCCAACAGCTTCCCCAAAATTTTCCCCAAAATGGAGAAACAAAAGTCATATTCTTCAAATTATTTTTGCTCCAACTCCAACAGCTTATCCATTTTGAAAAATCGCATTTATTACAATAATAAAGCTCTCCCCAAAAATTTGGAGAATGCTGCAGATTAATAAAGCTCTCCCCAAAAATTTGGAGAATGCTGCAGATTTGGGGAAGACTCCCTATTTTTTCTCCTCCTTCCCTATTTTGGGGAATGAGATGGGGAATCTGTTGGACCAAAAAACAGCTCTATATTCCCCAAAATTGAGTATTTCAATAAGATGGGGAAGCTGTTGGAGATGCTCTTAGCTATTGTTTTTTGAAAGATTTGTTTGAACATCTAAGTAACATTTTGTTAAAAGCTGGAGCTAACCGCAAACTACACCTCCTTGTTTGTTTTTCACTTCGGGTTTGACTTCGTAAAATCTTTGAATTTGGCGCCTGGGAGAAGACTAGTCACTTCCCATACAAGGAAAGAGGTCATGGATTTAAAATGTCATATCATATTTACTAAATTTTCTGTGGAGAGTGCGCCTGTTGTTTTAATTATTCGAGCATGGTTTATTATGAACCAATACATCCCAGTGACATAGCAACTCAAAATCCAAAATCTCAAAGCAATAACTATTAGCAACTCAAATCCCAAAATCTCAAAGGAATATCACTGTGAACCTAATAATGCACTAGTTTAAATTGTAAACAATGTATGAATAGCATAATTTTTCTTGCTACTAAATTTGAGCAACCAAAGTACACCCGACGAAGAGCTACTATATTCGAGAGAATACAACATGGAGTAACACGATTCTGAAGCATAATCTCCTTTCTACTCCGGTCATGTTTGGCAAATATTTGCTTTGTAAAAAAAAAAAAAAACCTTATAAGTTACTAATTACTTACTTTGTTAAAGGACAAAGTAATCTTTCAACAACTATAAGTAAACCTACTTATAAGTACTCAAAAAATAAGTAGGCGAATCTCAGCTTATTTTTTATTCACTCATAAGTAAAAGATAAGTGAATAAGTAAAACTCATCAAACATAATGTTGGAGAGTTATAAGTAAAAACTCAACTGTAAATTAAAATAAGTAGATTGGCAAACATGCTCATGAATCTCATTGCAGTATGAAAGATAATCACTTGTTCTTAGAACATGAAATACACGATACTCAAGCATTTACCAGACCTTGGGCAAAAGAGTTCTCCATGTCAACTATAATACAGAAAGAAGCAGTAGACAAAGAAATGTTGGGAAAATAAGAGCTGTTTAGACAATAACGAAAATCAGTTTAAGCAATTTAATAATTAACAGATAATCACTATTATAACACAGATATAAGAAATATATCAAATGAAAAAGAAACAGAGTTAGAAATACGGCCTGATGATCGAAGCGTGCAAAGCACTGTCCCAAGAAACTAATTGCCCCCTCTCGTACAGGGCTACGCGGCAATAGATCTCGGAGATACGACGACCCTCGGTCAGGCGACCTCCTTCTCGTCGGCACGAGCTTCAAGAAGGTTTTGCGAATTCTTCTAGACTTTCAGGGAACCAGCGTAAACAGAAAACTATTTTGAAAAGAGAAGGAGAGAAGAGATCTGTTGATTTTTCACTGTTTGAAACTATTCGGGTTTTGGTCCTTTTGTAGGGTTAAACAGCCGTTATACATAAACCCGTAGTTAATACGTTTTAATCACGTTAATAAAACTTAGCCGTTATAAAATTAAAAAACGCTTCCGTTACATAATAAATTCACAAAATATTTATCACGTTTTTAATCACACTAATAAATTTTTACCGTTACAAAATATTTATCACATGTTAATTGTTCAAAAATAAAAATTATATTTTAATTATTCAAAAATAAAAATGTAGCAAATTAAGAGCCCCTCAGTCCGGAGCTGCATTCGTGTCCGCAGGTCGTGTGCGCGCGCCACCCGACCCGACCCGAGCCCGAGCCCGGCCCGGCCGGCGCGCGCGTGTGTGGTGTGGAGCATAACCTTTGTTTTCTTCTAGGCATAGGAGAGAAAGGGAAGGCTTATAAAGAGCCTATCTTCCCATCTCTTTTCCAATGTGGGACTAAAGTTTTCCTCTTTTCCTCTACAAACCCAAGTTTTAAGTTACAACTCCAACAATCCCCCACATAACTTAAAACTTGAAATAGCTCAGAAATAAGAATAAAATAAAAACTTAAAAATAAATAAGATTGCTGGTTCCCTTATACTATGTAATAGGTGGAGGTACCTTTCGGTTTGAACCTTCACTTAGTGACAATTGTATAGATCCGTGAGAGCTTGGTGGACTTCGCCTTGAACCAGTCTCATTTATCGGATTTCTACAGAAAGCACACATAGTACAGTTTTGAAGAATTCTAAACGGGTTGCGCTATTATCGGCCTTGCGCAGGTATCTTTCATGTGTGTTACTAGGGAGCAGCCCTGATCCCATAGTCGCGGCCTCACAACTACACACATATAGGTGAATCCTAATAAGGATGCGAGCAAGTAAGCATCCTGCCTCATGGGTCTTGGATTCATTAAGAGTTAGACTCAACCTTTCACTTGCTTTTTATGAGCACTGATCACCCTAGGGATGGGAGCAAATGAATTCAGTGCTCCTCACAATTAATCACTCATTCAGTTTGTTTCTACCCATTGAACCTCTGCGAGGTTGGGTTGCCACTGCAGTGATTTTTCTTATGGGCTTAACCCCATCCCCCTCGATGATTCTAGGACCACTGCCCTAGATAAGCCTTTAGTTAAGTGATCTGCAAGATTTTTCTCTGATCTTACAAAATCTAAGGCTATTATATGGTTTTTCATCTTATATCTCAAGGATTTATGTCGCACTTTCAAGTGTCGATTCATCTTCACATTTGCATTCTCTTGATGGCATTTGTCAATCGCTGACCTGCAATCACAATGAATAGAAATGGCT